CTCTTTCGCTTTACAAATGCATTGGAAAACTCGACAATCCCATTTAGAATATTTATCATAAACCTCTACCCACCAAATTACAAGCATAGAAAATCGCTCTATTTATTTTTTTATTCGATAATGCTCCTGAATTACTCGGCCACCCTCATTCTTCAAAAAATTCAATTTCCTCCCAAATGCCTTTTGAATTTCCTGTCTAAAAAAGCTATTCTAAGTCATTCACCAGTAGTGCGAAAATGTGATGAAGAGACGTCCGGAGTAGCGATGCCATCAACAAGTTCACGACGTTTCTCCTAAATTGTGCCAATTAAGCCGACTACATTGGTTCAAAGGCCAGAGCAGTGTCTTTTACGCTTTTCAAATATTCTTTAGCCTTCTTCGGCTGTCTAAGACTTCTCTTTCCTTCTTTTGCATATTGTTGCAGGAGTTAGAGTTTAAGGGTTAAATATGTTAAAAATATTGGCAATGAACAAGGGGCAAAACCGAAAGCTCACTCATTTTTAGGTCACAGTTTTTTCATACTTACAGGCAACATAACTTTCTTACATTAGAAACGTATCTGGAGGGGGGGGGGATATTACTTTTCAGGTATGTGCATGTCACCTATGAAAGTCAACAATGAGATTCTTGGAAGTTTCTACTTCTTCTTTAAGACCTAGGTTTGGCTTCAAACTTGCGCTGTCGAGAGCTGAAATCTTTGAAATGGCTTTTTATTGGTGCCGATGCTCCAGGAACTTCAGGAAATTTTAAAGGGGAAAAATCAAGGGAGGATTTTTGAAAGATGGTTGAAGATCCTTTTTTACTGTAACTCGTTTCCGTAAAGGTGAAAGTAATGCCATCGGATAGCCCTTTATCTCGTCCTCATATATGTGTCAAGTTTAAGATTTAGCCAAAGCTTTTAGAGTTTTCCAGAAGATTCGAAAAAAAGTGAAAAAACATGCTACATAGGTCTCTAGGCATTTCAACATATTCTGCCCTTTACGTCCATATTTGGTTCTTTCGTGAGACCTCGTGAGTAAAAGTGATGCAAGTGGAACACGAACTGCCTAGAATTCTGCTAAGGACATGAGACCATAATATCCGGGCTATTAAACGTGAATCTCTTTCCATTTTCATGGCAAACAATGAAAGAATGTGCTTTTGCTTTGTTTTTTGGAACTTTGTTGCAGACCGTGAATGTAGTCTGCCTACATAGCCTATGCATTGAATTCCTGAGAAATGTGCATGCTTTCGGGTACAACCTTTTGAAGAATTCAAAACAATGCTTAGCTCGTGGTCTTCATATGCAAAGTTTCCTATCCGTTCATATTTCAGCAACTTCACATACTCGTTATACCTACTGTAAATTTGCAAGCGGTTTTTGTTAGATTACCCAAAATTGCAAAAATGCCAGAATACAATAAGCTTATGCATGATTCAGGTGAAAATACCGTTTCACATAAAAATGTTCGCGAAGGGAACGTAGGGTCTACATAATTTCGATCATAGTGCTGCTTTCATTTTCGAATTACCACCATCTTTTGGCTACATAAAAGCATAAATTCTCAAAATAAGGGAATTTTTTCAATGGAATTGACAGCACTGCAGTTAACTCATTATGTCAAGATTGTCGAAAGCTCGTAGATTAGCGCGAGTTATTGAATTGGCTAGAAAATAATTTTTATTCATGCAAATCTCCCTAAAAAAATTTCTTGAGTTAATTTCTATGAAACTGTGATAGGAAGGGGCTCAAAGCTTTTACTATCATATACCATCTACTCACGATTTTTTATCGTCATAAAAAACGGTTACGTCCGATATGGCCAACTTCCAAGAACTCGGTAATTTGACTTTCCATGCTTCGTTTTCATGCTATGATATAGGTAGTAATATAATAAGTATGATATATGGAGACAACTAAGTTTTACCTATTCAGCGAGTAACAATAAAACTCGTGATCTGCCATTTTGATATCCCTTTTAATAAAGAAATTATCTCACTTTTGCGCACAATACGCAAATGGAATATTTTAACTTTTCTTGCCTTTTTTTCGTAGGGAAATGAATTCAATTCGATCGAAGTTCAGATTCAAATTCTCACTGAAGTGCTCGTTCGAGAGATACCATACACTGGACAAAAATTTGCCTGCAGCATTTCTTTTCTCGGAGTCGCAAGAGCGACCAAAATTGATTAGCCAGCCTAATAGAATTTTTAGAATTTTGCTCACATTTTTGCATTGCGAAATGATGAGTGAAAAAACAAAGGAAAACAATATCTGACGCACATTTTCTGCAGAAATTAGTCACAAAGACCGATTGTGGGGATTGAAACCAACGACTGTTTTCAGAATTACAAAAACACATCCTCTAATTACTGCTCACAAATAACTTGGTTTTTCTACTCAAAAATTGCTCTCTTACATTAGTTGATCGAAGATGATGAAGCCTAATTTCATGCTCCTTTAACTCTGTCTTGTTAAATGCAGATCTTAGAAACCTTATTTCAGTAATTCATCTAACTAAAAAGTTATGTGACAAAGGCTTTACCCACAATACCTCATAAAAAAGCTCATTAACACCGCCAACGCAGAATACGCCCTCGATTTCTCACAATTAGTCTTGCAGCTCATTTATTAGATGCACTCAGTTATAACAGACGGTGTTGTTTGATGCAAATCTCCCTTATCATATAAGTATTATGGACCTGCGTGTAGACCAGTTTGGCTCTTACATTTGTTCTCTACTGTTCATGTTACGAACAATACAAAAAAGCCTCCAAAGAGAATATACTGCCTCTACAGACTCATAGCTTCTGTTATAACAGTTCAACCTTTGTTTTTGTAGATGAGACTCACTACTCGAAATAAGAATTGACTTGGTCATTTTGCCACGACGGTTTTTTTCCCACAAATTGAGGCAATTAGGCAGCTCCTCGATGGCTGGATAACCCTCAGAAAACACAGCTAACAAGATTACGAAAAGATTCTCCGGGGCCTTTGAGTACACAACAAACAGTTTTTTATACTTGGCAAGTAAAGTCCTCTTTTCTACGATTTGAAATAGCAATTAATTCAAAATATGGCCTCTCCACTGTTCAAAATACCGGTTGTTGTGGGACCTGTATATATTTGTCCTTATTTGGTACATCTAAAAGTAAAAATTACGAAACAGTTGTTAATAAAAATGTCTAACTTCCAGATCACACTGTTCTGGTGATCCTTAAGGAAAAGTAGTAACCAGCACCATCATAATGAAGTTGTGGCTCTCTCAGTTTGAGTTTTTTTTTGATAAAAAGAATTTCTTGGGAAAGCATTTGGTAGATCTTTTGATAAATAAAGTGGATGTTAAGCTGCTCGGTTATCCGTTTGTAAGCTGGGCTCGGCACAGATGGCTTGTAAGCAAGCTGGATATCGTATTTGGGACAAAAAGCCAAGTGGGTTTCGCTTTTATGGCGGAAAAAACAGAAGAATTTTCTACGTTTTTTGGTCGACGTTTCATCTTTGGGGGGATTTTTTAGGGATTACGGTCGATGGTCGAAGGGGACTTCGTAAAAATTCGCAAAAGTCAAGGGGGACTTCGTTTTTTGCATTTTCAACTAGCTACCTCGTGGCGAGCCCTGTTTGTAAGTGCACTATTGGTCTTGAGGCTATGGGATTACGAAAATGTTACCATTGCGTAACACAAGTAAAGAATGGCTTTTTTTATTACTCAAGAAATGTACTTATTAGCTCTTAAGCTTACAGTCATTTCAGAACGATATGTACGAAAAAGTATGAGATTGGGCTCAGAAACTTCAAAGAAACTGTAGTAATGTTTGAGGCATGCTGTGAGATTTTTGATATGCATAGACTATTGACAAAAGAAAAAAATTACCTTGTCTTTTGTCCATAAATCTAAGCACTAATGGGGATTGTATTACCATAAGTGCTTCTAGACTTTCACGCCTTTCACTCGTCATCCCTCGTCAATTTACAATAGATTATGGCTTTGTAAGTTTTGTTTAAAGTTTGCCTTTGTGTCTTAACTTTTCAGGTCAATAGAATAATAAATAGTTGAACTATAATGCACTTGTCTAGGTGACAATTGTTCAAATTTCCTATTCAAAAGGCACAAAACAAAAAAAGCATTATTGAGTCTAGAGCTACTATGCACTGCTTTTGTCAAGCTCGAAGTTTTTCTTCCAACATTTTGAAAGATATATTGATTTTTTCTAGCCATCACTCCTTCTACGAGGGCAAATAAGATCATTTTGTTTTCTTTATCGTAAAGCTCCCACAAACTCCGGCTCTTTCGCTTTTTGATTCTCGCATCTTCATCATTAACAATTCCGAATTTTTTCCTCCAGAGGTTTTTGCTTTATCTTCGTACCTCTCCGTGCCAGCTACAAGACATGATGGAAGGTTACAAAAAAACACCTTTTTTCCTTGAAAGATTGCTTCAGTTGTCAATCATCATGACATGAAGCCTCTGAAAATTTTTTTTGTGCTGATACATTGGACTTGCACAATCACAATCATCGTCCGTTCCTTGACCTCAGACTTCCCAGAATTTTCTCTCTCTTTAAGCTAAATTTCCACACAATGGCTTAGTCAGCGTCTGTATTTAGAAAGTAAATGGAACGCATGCTCGAGTTATTCGTAACTTAAGTAGTAGGTTGCAGACAATGCGCGGAACCTCACGGCTCCATAATTCCAATGGTAAATTTCGTCAGGGGCAGATGTTTTGATGCAGCAAAACGTCAAGAGATGTTCACTTACGTTAGTTTGGGTCTACCCGCACGAACTCTCAGAAAACAGTGAAAAAATACGAGAAAATAGCCTCAAGGCATATAAGGCGTGCGATGTAGCGCGTAGTCTGCATTTACACATATTAAGTTACGACTGACTCGACGACAAATGGAATTTTATCCGTTTTCTGCATTTACCTCGCTATAACGTTTTTGCTTCGTTCATTTCATGTAGGCGGAATCTCGAAAAACATGTTTGAATGAATCTAGAGCTCGGAGATTTTTCCACTCTAACAATGACAAGAGTGGGTGTCGCAGCTGAGAATGAATCGCCGTCAGAATCCTCGTATAGCGAAAATGACGAGAAGTAAGTCTCTATGTTTCAGCTTCTTTACGTAGTGTCCGAAAGAAATTGAGAAAAATCTTAGCAAAAAAAATTAAAATAGGATTTTAGCGGTTTTACTGTAATAATTCATGCTGATTATCAACTTTCATTCATTATCACTATTGCATAAAATGCTTTCCTGCCAAAGCGATGACTGTGTTATTGTAAGTGGCTATAATTTATAGGACTTAATTATTCTTTGTTTAAAATGGCAATAAATAATGCAATTCGGTAATGCCTAAAGAATATATGTCATTTTCTCTGAGTTTACTTACAATTCTATAAAACACAGCTGTATTCTTTTGTATATTTTCAGCCTTTTTCGCAAATGTTGAGAAGCTTAGGAAAAAAATTTCTGTAGTTCGTCCATGGAGTGAACATGTGTAAATAAGAAATACGAAAATCTTTTTCTCGTAAATTGATCTATTATCGGACATGTTGATTTGATTTTTCCTTTGACGCTTGAGCTGGCAAATTGTTTTTTCGTATAACCGCAATGTATCCAACAATAGGATAACGCCGCAACGATTGCTTCTGAGCAAACTGGGACGTGCACAGCCGAACTCGCTTTTTATCCAACATTTCAAAAAAAATTCTTTTGCCGTTGTGGTAGGAATCGAGATTTTCGCTGAATAACTAAATCAGGGCTCGTCACAAGTGGCTTGGTAAGTAAGCTGGATATCATTTTTGGGCCAAAAAACAAAGGGGGTCCTGTGTTTGGCCGAAAAGACAAAAAATTGCGGCGTTTTTTTTTGGTCGACGTTTCGTTTTTTGGAGATTTTTTAGGATATGGGTTAAGAGTCAAAGAAGACTTCGTAAAATTGTGGGAAATCCAAAGGGGATTTGTTTTTTTTTTTGCATTTTCCAAAATCACCATGTGTGGAGCCCTGTAATAAATCTATAATAAATGTGCCGAAAATTCTGCATTCGCTGAATGGTGATAGTACGTTTATAATTACTGCTCGCTTTACCTATCATCAGAAAATTATTTTTGTAATCATTTACCATAATTGGGTAAACAATGGTAGGGTTATTATGGGGACTACAGTCTGAGTGAACGTATCAGCTCTTTTGGTACATTAGCGTCTCAATCATCTTTTTTTCTCCCATCCTTTCATTTGGGCTAAGAAATTGTCCTTTTCTTTTTTTAACGTCTACGCTCGGTTATAATGGCGCATTATGTGCAGTAAATTTATGCTATCATTTTCATTTTTTTCGTTGTAATTCCTTCCTAAGTCTTCGAGATGTCATTTGAAGCGATCAAGGTTTATGTACTTCTTGAGATCTTTCAACATCCTCAACACACTTTATTCTATTTAAGTGCATGCAAAGACGCAAATTGCCGTCTCTTAAATGTATATCACAGAAGACAAATGCGAAATTCTCTCTTCACACTATTTTATCTTATCACTATATTTTTTACCAATCTTGGCATTTCTTTGTACATTTTAGAAAGGATGCTTATCAATCTCAGATCGCTGTGCAATGAACTAGCAGCAAAAAGTGATCTTTGGCTTGATTTGCAGAGAATCCAATAGGAGTACATTTTTTTACCGCTAAATGTTGTATCTCAGTGGAGGAGGCTAGAGCCGAATGAGCTCAATAGTGGAAAGAGTCTCACGTTCGATTTGGCGAAAAGAGGCTGTAAACAGTCATGCAAAATTAATGTATGGCAAATTATCCTCTAACGAAAGTCTTTACATAAACTTCGACACGCAATTTGCAGAATCTAAATCTAGCAGATTCAAACAATCTAACCGTAACACATCTAATTGCAGGGGAACACAATATTTTCCAAAAGGATTTCCTATTTTAAACTTCTATTTAGATATCAACTCATGCAAGAACAAACCCCTTGAGTCCAAAATCGTGAATGAAAGCATTCCAATGATTTTCAAACGCTTCTTTACTCTACGCTAAACAAGAATCTTTAGGAAACAAAAAGAAATTGATGTCTTTGATTGACACTTGCACTTTCGGGCATTGACTGAGAGTGCAGCACTTTCCATACAGTATACAGTTTGAACTGTGTACATAATAACTGCCATTTAGAGAAGTGCAGGCATCTTTTTTTTGCACAATATGAACTTTCAAGCATTTCTTGTGGTCTTTTAGCTTGGCTTTTATAATCTTTGTTCGGATTCCTGGAAAAATCACAGCTTCTTGGGGACGCGTAACGTGGGAGCGTAGTGAACTTCCTAGAAAGCTTGACTTCCGATACCACGACTGAATATTGTTCACAAACAATGATTAATTACAGAAAAGATTTAGTGGCGATACTTTTGAAGCCTAAATGTTTTTGCTTCAGCCGTGTAATCACGATTTCATCATTGAACGAGATCTCATAAGGCCTTGAGCACTTCACGCGATTTCAGTCGCCACATGATTTGGCAGTTTGCCACATCTCTTCAAATCCAACATTGGCAGGCTACCAATGCAGGGCGTGTATGATTTTTGTGAATTGAAAGAATTCCCTATCTTCCCTACATTTTGAATGCCTTTAGAATGAGTGATACGCAGTTGGAGTAATGCCAAATCGCGTGAAGTATGGCCTAAGAACTAAATTGGTGGAAGTCGGACAACTAATCAAAGAATTCAAAACAGTCCCGTATAGCCAAAACTTTGTTCAATTTGCCCGAGGTCTAATCTTCGTTGGAAGTTCAGAACAAGATTTCGAAAATCAGCAGTTTGAGCAGATAGAGTTGATCGACGAGTGGAGAGTTCTGACTTTTACTTAAAAGCATTCAAAGAAATTTTCTGAATGATTATCCAAGAAAAGAACATCCTTAAATTCCAATGGATGCACGTTGAAATGCTGTTTGGTCATCATTATACAAGGTTTTTGTTCTAAGTCAAGGAAGCTTTTGCGACATTTTTGAAAGCTTTCGGAACATCCTATTTCCCCTTTCTCCGCCCTACAAAAATTGTCAAAATCCCTTCTTATAAAAAGGTTGCAAAATTTTGATACTTCCACTCGAATCGCGTACGCTTTAGCACTTCTGCAGCAGCGTCAAATTTCCAAAATTTCATTAGTGACAGTTTTTCCCGCAAATAGCCAATTCACCGAGCTGCTCGGATTCTCGCATACTCGAGCGACAATCACTTGCCGTCAGCGTAGTATTAACGCGGTCTTCTCATTGTTGCTCTTAATCGCTCTCCTACAATTTCCGCTCATTCTTGGTCTTAGTCCGAAGAAAAATGAGTAATCCTATCAAGCAATACGCCGACAGGAGTAGGTTAGTGGCTTCGAAGTTGACTTTTCAAGTTTTTGCTAAAGAAAAAGTTTCAGTTTCTTGCGCGTCTGTTGATTGAGTAAACATTTTTTCCAGCAAGAGCTCGGGGTTTTGGAAAGCTTACCGCATTCATAGCTGGCATTGTCCAGATTTGAGTAGCAGTGTATTATTTGAACTCTTTTGTTGTTCGACAATAGGGTTTGAAATGGAACAAAAACTGTTGTGCGGTTCCTCTGGATTTATGTTTGCCTACAAAAAATGTAGTTTTTGGATCGCTTTTTTTTACTTTTATCATTCCATTTTTATCTTTCATACTCTTAGTTCATAAATCTTTTCCTGAATCTCTAGGTCATTCTCAAGTTCAAGCCTAAAAAGTTGAAAAACTTTGAGGACGTAGTTTCCTATATATTTGCCCATCTAGAACGTAACCTTTAGCCTTTTTTGTAATTTGAAGAATTGTCTGGGATTCAGTTTCAGAACAAAAGAAATATCGTAATATCCTCATGAGTCACACATTGGGGTGCTCTAATCTCCATTAGTTTTGTTATGTAGCCGGAAGGAATACGTAAATGTTTTGAACTTTTAACTTTCATGTGACTCTTTCTGTGACAAAACTAAAGCTAAATAAGTTTTTTTCTTGTTCGCCTCACTCGTTACACGAGATCTAAGCTCTTCTCGGTTTTTGACTCCACAAAAAAAGGAACATAAAAAGTTTTTCACTTGAATTTTGATATTCTAGAAAGGTCATATTTTCAAGTTCAGAAGTTCTCTTGCCTTTTCTCTTCGTTTCAACTAAGGAAACACTTATACTAACAGGCTGAAGTAGAGGTAACCAAAGTTTTCATCAGTACTTCCAATATTGTACTCGATATGTTCCAGAGAAAGGATATCATAACCTTACTGGTAGAAGTGATTATTATTAGTAATTATTATTAGCATATTGCGGTAATTTGAGCTATTGAAGAGATGCAGTCGAACTCCATTTTTTTGCTCTCACTAAAAGGCCAAAAAACCTAAATAAAAGCCTTTGGGGTCAAATCATGATTCTGTGACCCCTCCTTTTTGTCTAAGAAAAAACTCTGGTCGGAAACCTCTACAAGAAGCAACATTTCATAACTGCGGATTTCTGATTTCGCTCGCTATGCTCTAAAATGTTTTACTAGGGACCAGTAAAACATACCGAAACGTTCTTTTAATTTTTTTGAGATCTTGGGCAAGAGCTGCTTTCGGATTTGGTAGGAAGCTATTTAAGTCTTTTTTGGAGCATTCCAGGTTATAAAAGATAGGTTTCACCACAAGACGTAGTAAGCTTTATTCATTCTTTCCTTCAATTCTTCACGTTTTTAGTTTTCGTTAGTTTTCAACAATGACATTGCACTATGTTTCTTCGTCAGCACAAAGAACCTCGTACAACCTTTTTGTTTTTCAAATCATGAATTCTAGCCTTCTTCGCATGCATTCCATTTTCTATTTTTGGATGGAGATGTTTTTGCGCCGTTACTCGGGGTATCTATGCGTATTGACCTTTGCAGACAGTAGATGTTGTATCAGAAATGATTGGCTCTTTTATCGTCTTGGAAAACAAGGCCGTTTTTCTTTTGAATACCACCACAAGTCTTATCCACAGTCTGCGTTTTTTATTCGACTAATTTTACAGAATCTTCTCTAGTACCGCATGTAAGTATTGCTTGGATTTTAGTCCTACAATTAATAGTCATCCATTCAGAAAATTGTGTTTACATCTGATGTGACATGCGCAGAACTTTTGCTTTATTTTTTGAGACTTTCCAAAATGGATAAACATTTCAATAGCGATTTGAATCATTAATCCTGTGTAATACAAGCAAGAAGCATAGAAATAGTTCTAAGAACGGGAATTCTGAAGGCAGAAGCAATGCATAGTCGTGCATCAGTGGTGGTCCCAAAAATTTTTCGGGACTTGGGAGGAGCGTGGGCATCAAAACCATTCTAGACGAAGAGACGTAAAAAAATTCTGGAATGCTTTATAATTTCCAGGGAGTAGATAGGATAATTCAGTAGTAGTTTTAACGTCAATTTTAAGAGATTTAACAAAAATAAATAGAAACAATGAAGGCAATTTACTGCGTAATAATGCTTTGGTGGCGACCCAGAGCTCTTCGTGGAGGAGGGAGGGGAAGGGGGGGGGGAGGGGGAGAATGCGTGCGAGGGGCTTTCTAGATGAGGTTCCCAGAAAAAAAATCTTTCAAACTTTATCCATGCTTGATTTTCCGAAATTTCAAAATGCTCGCATCCCACATTCGAAAAAAAATTTTGCCTCATTTGATTTATTCACAAGTTTTCAAAATTTAGTTTCCTCATCTGTAAAAATTCTTGTCAACTCACTTAGTCGACCTTGTGATCCATTACCCCCCCCCCCCCCCGTTACCCTCTCTCCCCGTCCGCCACTGTTATTTATATATCAGCCATATGCAACTCCATTTAAATTGGCTTAACCACGTCTCGTATTTCGATTCGCTTATGCTACAAATCATATTTCATAGAACATCGCAAAAACTCGAAATGGTGGGTGTCAAAATGCTTGGATAGAATCCTTTTCTTATCGAAATTTCCACATCAACCCGTTGCACTATGGATAATTACATTGCAATGCTCCAGCTGCAAAAATTAGCCCGCATTTTCCACAAAGGAGCTATACAACTGTACTTTAGAGCTTGTGGAATATCTATCAAGACTAGGAAACGTCCTAAAACTGCACCGGTTATGTGATGCTTCATTACATCTTGCATTTATCTCGTCCCAAAATAGTAAATGCTAACTTTTAACCGCCTAGTGTCACGGTGACGGCAAATAACTTTGCACTTACCTTTTTAGATCAAATAAATGCTTCTAAACCGGTAATAATCTGCTGTCTGCTATCTTTTGTCAACTTAATTAAACAGCACCTCATAATCGTGGTACTCATATGATACTACAAAAAGTGGCTATATCACCAATGACTACCTTGTCAGTATCCACATGTTCAAAGATCGAAATCTATGTTGTCTAATCCCGAAGGCATTTGGCCATAAGTGTTGAGTTCTTCGAAAGTTCTGGTTTTTGCATTAAGTGGCATTTCAACCAGAAGTCTTCGAACTACTGCAGAATGTTTCACTTCAATTTTCACGATTTTCTTTATTAGTTCGCTTAATTATTGCATTTTTCGCCTCGAGCTTGTATAGTTTTGAGAAAGTAGCAAACATTATCTTATGGATTGTAGCTTGAGATTTGCCCCGAACCAAAAAGCTTTGATTTTCGATAAATATTTGGTAGAAATTGACTACCGTGGCTCAAAGAAAATTCTAAATCTCAAACTTTAGGCGGTGGCGGAAAGTTTGATAGACTTCATCTTTGTTGTCTTTGATGTCTTGTAGCCCATTTTGGTGCATCATGAGTCAGTTGCATTACATTGACATCAAAGTATAAAAAATTCAGTGGTCAAATTCAACGAAATTTTGTTGTCAAAAACTGGCAGTTCTAAGCGACAGTAAAACAAGAGAGATAGCGCAACCGCTTATAGTATATATCAAATATTTCAAATTTGATTCATTCTCTGGGAAGCTGAGAATTGGCGGAAAAGATAAAGAATTTTTGCTGTGGGTTAATATCCTGTTAAAATTAGAATTATAAACTTAATGATGAAAGCTTTTCTTCTAGATCGGGATCGGAATTGTTAAAGCTCCACCTGACTGCTGCTCGATCAATTTGGGATATAGTATATGTCATATACTATATGACTAGATGCAGATTACTAGGAACTCAGCAAATATTGTTTACCTCCTAACGCTTTTTTGTTTATTATGCCTCGGTGCACTCATAAAAGCTTTCAAAAATAACTTTATACCTTGCCTAATAGCGGACTAAAATCTTTACTAATGTGAATCAATGATTTGATGAACACGTTGCGCACAAATGGTCAATAATGAATTATACAAATGAATGCTTACTGTACAAGCAGTTCCATCCACCGACAGAGATGTATCACTATAGATTACAGTGTTCGTTCTTGCGTAAACGTAAAGCCAGCCCATTACCAAGCGTTTCATATACTCTGCGAATGTGTAGCGACAGAATGAAAAGAATGTCTTTTATCTTTGCTTATGTGGGAAGCATGGCACTTCGCATATATACTCCTAAGATACATACTGCTTGAATATCAGTCATTTTGTCACTTTGCCTAAGAAACCAATTTTCTTCCATGTTTTCTTGTATAGGGCGCGAAGCGGCCGGTCAATGATCGCAATATCTCCCCTTTGCTCATTTTGCCTGCGTGTGAATTGTAGGAGCAATGAGTTTGAATCATTAGCACCAACAGCGTGAGAAATGATCTACACTTTCCTATGAAAGATTATCCTTTGCTTGAAGCATACGTAAGAAAGTTGACGATCTTAGAGTTGCGGAATGTCGATGTTTGCGGGTGTATTTGCTATGCTCTTTGGTTTTTGACTAGGGCCAATTTTTGCAACAATTTTTTAAGTACTTCGCTCACATACACAGCAATCACCAGTTCCAAAAATCTTGGCCCATAGAGCTAAATCTTTTCACCTTTCAGCTTATGGTGAAATTATTGTTAGCTTTTACTGTTCAAATGAAATCAAAATTATCAGGATATCCTATCTCCGATTCAGGACACGGTAATCGCGTTGTTTCGTTTTTTGTTCTATTTCTGCTGTTTGTTAGTTTTTTTCTAAATGCTTGATTACATTTAAAACAAAATGCTTAAACTTATTCGCCTTACAAATTAGAATTTTTGCTTTAATCTTTTTGTGCAGGTATGTATGACGTAGCAACTTTTTTGTGAAGTGCTAATGATTAAATGTTTTTGTTGAACTCTTCTACTGAAGCAGAACTTACGTTTGAAAATTATTTGTAAAGGGTTCTTTTAACCACAATGAATCAGTGTTTCCTTTGATCAGTCTTTGGCTGGAGTGAGCGAATGTTTTCAAAAATTATTTTTGGGTATATTCTTTTGTCATTCATTGAATATAATGATCTCGCTAAGGCGTATCGCAAATAAGGAGTCACATCAAGCATTGTAAACTCTAGGCTCATCGTGTACAGCTTGATTCACCTTCAAGATGCAAAATAACTCATTATTATATCACTCTATGGCAAAAAAATATGTATGCTTCTGAAGAAGCAAAATGAATTATTATCTTTTTATCTTTATGCAAAACTTATAAATATGAATGCCTTCGAAATGCTCATAATTCAATGCTCAAAAAATTCATAAATTTAGGCTTCAAATGGACTGGTATCCGTTTACGAATGAAGAAAAGCAAATCTTACTCGATTCATGGAAATATCTCGAACCGTTGAAGCAATCTATAGGATGTGACATATACGAGATGATTTTTAATCAGGTTTACATATTTTTTGCATGCCTGTAGAAGCTGTCCCATACCTACATTTTACTATTATCTTTTTCATATGCATACTTTCAGTGCCCAGAGGCGCGGAAATTATTTCCAAAAATGAAATTTGTTCACTCGAAACCGGACAAGAAAAGCTGTGAATTTGCTTTTCAGGCTCTTCGATTCATACAGGTACGACCTCCAAAATGTTTTCTGCACACGAAAGGGTAGAAATCTCATTTTTTACATCGAGCCATGGTTGATTTCTTTTCGCAAGAACTCTTCTCTTTCTAAAGTCTACAACTTCCATTCCATCAGCGTTTCTATTCTCGATCTGCTTACATATCACAGCGGGCACGTTTTCTTAGTAAGATAGCTATCTACAGCAAACAAATGGACATAAAGGAAAATTTCTAAAAATCCAAAAACGCATCGCTCGTCACCTTAGAGAGATCGAATCAAATGAGGTTTTTCAAATTTTCTGCAGAACGTGAAAAGGATCATTTTTAAGTTAGCATCGCTTCTCAGTTGATTATTAGCTGGAGAATGAGCAATGTAAGTCCTATCTTGTGATTGAACGGAGATAGTTCTCAATGTAGAAAGTCTCAGAGAGGAAAGAAGGTTTGGTAAACTGCGGGCTAAGGATCTTTCTCTTCTGTGCAGCAGTTTGAGTAGGTTCAGCGCAAAGGGGCTTTTTTGCAGTCATTCCTGACTAGGAAAGTTATGAGGAACTGAAGTTGCTTTGAAAATTCAAACCAATAGCCCTCCCAACATACCTGTAACAAGTAATGGGCGGATGAATTCGCAGGTTCCACTGACCCAGCACAACCGTTAAAAATTAAAATGATTTATCAAGAATTTGACAAACCGGAGAAGCCGATGACAACAAAAATATAAAATGAGAACAATAACAAGAATGAAGGACTGAAAGGAATGAGAAAAACAAACAACGATTATGTCACAATTAAACGAATCAACAATCTGAGATCGGCACCTGAGATATGCTGCAATGTATGTCTCACAACTACGCTCCATGGTCTTATACATTCCAGAATAAACTAGACTTTACGAAAACCTAAAGTATGTAACTGATCTAATCTAACCTAAACCTAACCTAAGTAAACAAGGCTTGGCGTTATCTACAATCATTTGCAGTCCCATCGAACGTTATTTGGTGCAATGAGGTACCACTAATGCTTCCATTCGTCCCTCTCGCAGGAGATTGTTAATCTGTGTTCAGTACCGCGTCAGGAACACGAGAACGCTTTGAAGGACTTTCTTGAAAATTCCTGAACATGTCTGACCATTAGGTTGGTCTTCCCGTTCTTGATTTAGACGTCCAGTGTAACCCTGCCCCGTCACATCTCTAATCCACCGGTCATGTCGAAACGCATCATGTCTTTTGCCCACCCTTCTTGTTCTTTTTGGCGTTTGCGGGCGTCTCTGAGCTTTAACTGTTAACGTTAGGCTATCGCCTGACATAGGCGCAGTTCCGGGCAGCCGCGCGGCCCTTCTAACCGCGAGCGCATCGGGCGCAGGCTTACAACGGTGGTGCATGCGCCGCGTCTGCACCTACTTAACTAATTCTGCTCTTGCGTCTTCGTCCTGCAATAGCCTTTAGAGTGATCCGTACTCCTTCCTTCACTTGCGCGAGTCAGGCTCTCCTAACACAACAACGGCCTTTTCGATGACGTTGTCCTCACCATGTTTACTCATAATCCATGTTTCATGAGCATACGACAAAGCAAAAAGAACCGTTATGTCGAAGAAGAGGTAGGTAGCCGAGGATTCTCAAGACATGGGTCACTTAGCTCTGGCGTTCGTTGATAGCCTTTTCACTAAGTGTAAAGGAAACATTAGGAACACTTTCTCTTCAATACTGTTTACTGAACTTTGACCTCAGAGCTTACCCGCTACGTCTACGAATTAAGCTAGCATTTATTCTTGTCTCCAGTGTCTGGTGTAATCCCGATGTGATCAGCGAGCGAAGTTGGTTCATTTGCCGGCGGTCGAATTTTACTCATGCTATACGCAGACTTTTTCGTAAACAACGCTGAAGGGTTGCGATCTGGTGTCGTCTCATTAGCCATTCACGCCAGTCACCATGCTCTTGTAGAATGGTTTGACGTTGGCTGTGAAGTCCTTGTACAGCTAAATATTAATAATATGGGGAAAACCATTTTCATTCTCAATTCCGCTGCTCCCAAATCTCCAACTCCTCGTGAAAACCTAGCTCAAGCAGCTCTCATTCCAGTCTAAAATGTGATACTACAACTTGTGACAAAAATAGGGATGGCTGTATACTGCTTTAGTCGTGTTATGTAGTGTATCGAAAGCGATTGGAGAAAATGTTCTAAATCGCTGCGAAAATCTGAGAATTGATGGATACCATAGTCGACTCCTGACAGAAGTACGCTTCAGCCATGTATTAGTGCGTGACAATGTCTCCGAACAGAAGTCTTGCTCTTAATGCAACATTTAAAGCGCTTGGCGCAACATCCTCACTTAGCGCACATACGCCCCACAAAAGGTTAGCTAATCTTCCATTCAGTCAACTTCACTGATATGTGAAGTTGCTGTGAATGTACGCCTGATACATACCTTTATATCTATATTAGAGTTCACATGCATGCATTGGCCGGGGTAAAAACTGCTTAAGGGGATATGTCAATGTTTTCCTATCGGCAGCTTGAACATATCAGTTATGTGTAAAATGATTAAGAGGTCAACGTTTGTATCTGCGAAGCACATATAATTGCTGCCGCGTGCTCTCAATAGAAGGACTTACGTGGGAACTGTTCAGGTTATAGAAGGGGCCGTGATGTCAATGGATAATTTATCAGCATTAGATCCAATTTTGGACAATCTAGGAAGACGACATGGTAAACTGGAAGTGAACGGAAAGTTCCGGTCAGCTGAACGTATCTAAGTTTTTCATGAGTCTATAAAATATTCTACTTTAGAACGTACTATTGGTCCACGTTTTTGGAATGCTCCATATGCATTTTTCGAAAAACCCTAACGAACTGTCGTAAATATCCTGAAAAGGATATTGATAAGGCAATCATTTTGTGGAGATATTTGCTGCGGGACGTTATGAAGAAGATCAAGGTAAGATGTTTATTGACAAGCAAAGTACAGGCTGCGTTGAACTCAAGTGTTTATGTCCTGCTTCAAATAGCAGCATACACGAGCGTTTATCGCAAGAGATTGAGGCGGTCATTTTTGCACAAGAGTTTGTCAATTGTATGTGACACTAAAGGCCTCGGGACTTGCCTTTTCCGACTGCTTCGCATTGCGCATTTCAGTGTTTGGAAGAAGCCTTAACCCTACTTTGAAACAAGCGATGTTTGAATTTTGGGTTGGGCCAGACGCCGCACACCCTTAATGGCGTACAGTCTTTTTCAACCCGGAGTAGGCGAAACATTTCGGGTGGAGCAGCGCGTCCGCACCGCCTCTGATTCAGCGAGATAGATTAGAATGAAGAGACACGGACTGCGAAGCGGCGCCTTTTGTTGCTAAGTGAACTCCCGCCAGTCCAATTTCCGCCTAAACTGAGTTGAAACTTATTATACGCTGCGTGCGTGAATTTTGACCCGCTTTAAGCGGAAATTGGATTGGCGGGCGTTCGCCTCGCAATGGTTCGCGCCGTGCCCCACCTACAGTATGCCATATCGTGCTAGGAATTCAAGTTTGCGTCTCTTCACTCTCCTTAGTCTCTGCTTGGCAAAATGCCAGCGCTATGCGCCCGCGCTGCTCCACGTAGAAGTATCGCCTCATCTGGGATGAAACGGACTTTACGTCCCGCGCAGTTTGGCTCAGGGTTGAGCCAGAGTGCGCGGCGTACGGGCGTACGTGACGTACGCAGCGTACACTCGGTATATTTCATCATAGGAGAGTACGCGGCGTACGCTGCGTACGCCGCGTACGCCGCGCAGTCTGGCCCAACCCTCAACTCTTCCAGTGGTACGTGAGGAAGCGCATTAAAACGCTTATAAGTATCCTTCGATGTTGCTCAAGCCTTCCTTCATGGAGTCCCGTCCTAACTCGTTGTGCAAAATGGCTTGCAAGAAAATTGAAACAACCGATCTAGTTAACACAATAACTTATACGAACTTATGTTTATGTTGATCAAAGTGGTTAAAAGATTTAGTTTTATTTTCGTCTATTGTTTATATCTCCGGCCCAGAAATGCCCATAACTTTGTAAGAGGGGGGGGATAGATATAGTAATACTAGTGTTATCAGGAAGTAATGGGACATCTTCATTTTCTATTTTCATTACAATTCTTTCTCTTCGATTGGCAACAATAGGCCGGCAATGCACGCTCTTCTAGTGAGCCATTGATCTTTTCGCCATAAGAGTACTAGCGAGACTTACCAACAAACTCATTTCCATTTTGAATGATTTTGCAATTTCTTTCACTGTCTAATGCACAATAGAAGTCGCTGAATTTATCACTATTTCAGATTGGTTATAACGCAGATATCAGTAATCGCATGAACGCTTTGTCTCTGGATGATCGCAGTTATACGTTAACGTCAAATCGTAAGGAGTCCTACCCATCAGATGTGAGCGACCTTTCGCCATAACATTATTATTGGAAACTTTGTGATTTTTTCATGTGTTAAAGTGACGTGTACTGTTAATGTCGTCTTCAATTCAAGATCCCTTACTGTTATCCATACTATTGAATCTTCAGAGTGTAGACAGAGTCAAGCAAGCTACAATACTGGCAAATTTTGAAAAATTGAAGCTGAATCACCTCTCATGTCTTGGTGGAGGTACGCTGCTGCAACGCATTTGCGTAGCTATCTTGAATAATTTTGGAGATATGATGTAGCTGTCTTGAAACACATACGCGCTCAGCTCTGGGCGACATTAAGCACGCAAAACAGGAGACTCTGAAGGGTGAGATTTAGACTGCCGAAAATCGCAGAAGGTATTCTTCTGCTCAACTATCATTGCAGGTGCTTCAGTGCTGCATAGATTGAAATCTCCTCAGTGGAATCTAAACGTAGCTTTTTTGATAAACCTTAGGACATGCGAGCTCTTGCCGTTCTGCGCTGTATAGCCCTTGAGTGCTTCTAAGCGTTTCGAAGCTATTTGAAAAAGTCGAAGGGCGTTTGTGTGATTGCAACATAGGAGCACACAATCGATCTTCAACACTTGGAACTGTTAAGTTTTTGTTCACGGATTGAGAGTCTATCCTCTGAACTTTCTGTCAAAGAGAGCTTTGAGGAAAGTTTAAGATAACTTCAGCTGCGTCAAAACTTTAAAAGGTATTCGGGCATGCTTTCATTTGATTGTATAGAGTGGTAATCATTATAGGCATAGCGATAATCGAAACGGACTTACTTTTGTCTTTGCATAGCATCTGCATTGCATCAGGGTTGTGCGGGTAAAAGGGGACATCTTGACATCTGTTTTGAGTAAAAGAGGTAGAGATTAAAACTAGTGATTTGGTGGAGGTGCAGCTAGCCATTTGTGTTGTCAAGAGGTTGTTGTTGACTTTGTTAAGAGGAGAGTAACGCGACCGTGTTGCTTCAAATCTAAGCTTAACCCTGTCTCCACTCTTTGATCATATGTAATTTTAGCGACAGGCCGGTAATCACAGCAACTTATTTACTCCTTTATTAATTATGATTGCTTATCTGACTATACTCTCTTGCATTAATTAAAAATTGGAGTTTTTACTTGCTTTTACATATGACATTTGTTTCTTTTTTCATGTTTCTTTATCTCTCTAAGCTAAATGAACGGGAACAGCTTATATATTTTCCAACTCTTCAGCGTTTGAGGCTTACGAGTCACCGTTTTTTCCAAATATGATGTTTACCGCAGACCTCATGTATATTATAGAAAAACGGCGCAAACTTTAGTGGATTGTGGTATTATTGTCCAATATGTATACCTTCATTCTGCGTTGCAAATAGTGTTTGTCCAAAAACTGCTGGTAATTGACTGTTGCTACGCTCATAATCAATGTATATCCCTACAGATCTAGTAAGTTAGATTGAAGCTTCCTTGAATTCTGAGTTATTTATATGTCAAAACTGTACTCCAGAACAACTAATCAAAGTTTTCATTTCACCTGAACGGCTTAAAATACAAATTATAAAGATTTTTGGTAAAGAATAACAAATGCAAAAAATTTGTGAATTTAGTGCTGCAACAAGTGCGTTCGTACTCGAAACATGTTACAAATCAGACTGTTCGTGTATCATTGAATCTGTAGCAAGTATTCTTTCATGTTACCATAGTTAAATTGATGTCAAAGCCATAAATTGTAATAGTGTGTAATTTTGTCCTGATATTGATTTCGTTCTATTTAGTCAAATAGGACGAACGACTTTGATGACATCTTGTGATCTCATTCGCATGGGCAGTTTCGTACACATCACCGTTGCCATCTACACATAATTGAGTAGGGGGCTATATGTCGCCCATAGCTTCACGCCGCGCTGACTGCTGGTACAGTATATGATGTGTGTATGCTTTGTGGTCTGTTGAGCCAATCTGCCTCTCTTCTGCGACATATAGTCCTCCACTCCACATCACTTGGTTCCTATTGTAAATTCTTAGGACATTCATGCAGTTATCCGTTGTTTCTGTAAGAAGAGAATTCACTGTGCATGTTGTGTGATTAATCAAGTTCACTGTCTATGATATGTACTTGACTGTAGAACAACCTCAAGTTACTGCTTCCCGGTGACCTCGGGCGCGAAAACAACTCTTTCACCTGTTTGATTGTTTGAAATCATACACGCGTTCTTCTTATTTTCCCGTTGCTTCTAATATTTTTAATTATGGTATACGATTACCATCAGCAGACTTCACCCATGATGTGCACATTTTGAATTGTTTTTAGCACATTGCATTTATGTTCTGTCTATTGTTGAGTCATTGGCTGTATGAAGAAGTTTACTGTTAGCATACATGCTGCCCCAGTTGAAATCTTTTGACTAGACTTTTAGCACTACGAACCACTATGATATCGGTGAAATCGTGTTTTTGCTGTTAAATTCTCCTTCTTCCAATCGCGTTTAAATTACAGTAACCCCTGGCGCAAGCGTAAAGCTGAATATAATTCCACAAAATGCATGTCACGCTCTTTGAATGAGTTCCTTTTTTTACTTATCCGCCGTAATATCTGTTGGCCCGATACAGAAGTCTCCAGCGGCCCAGTCATCGGCAGAAGTTGAAGGGGGCTGCAAGCGGTGATCGCGTAGCCGCCAGCCGGAATGGAAGAGCGGAAACAACGAAATAGCAATGGAGGGCAGTCCATCTATTTTCCATTTCACAAGACAAGGTCATACTGTTCCGCATAGAGATGTTGATTGTTGATTGCATGATGTGCACTGCGAGAAACGTGCATAATCAAGACAGGTATTGTCGCGTCATTCGTAATTTCATATGGGTAGTGCACACTATACACGCTAACTGACGAACTGCAAAACTAGAAAATGTTCGTTTCCAGTGATTTTTCTTGCTTCCTTGTCTCTTTTGTTATTGTTGGTTATACATTAGCGCAAAACATCTTTCTACACTTTGTTAGGCTAAAAATTGTTCCACCTGGAATATTACTAGTAAGGGTATCGTCGATGGGGCTTGGTGTGCAGTCTCTCATATTAACTCACAACTAACTTGAGGTTATATACACATTAGAAATGATGTCTGAATCAACCGTTGTATGCATACGCTAACTAATGTGATACAATCCTGTTGTCTACTGCTCGTTCCAAAAACTGACTATAAAGTTACATCTGTCTTTACTGCACCTTTTGGGAACGGCTGAGTTTAGTTTGGTTAAACAAACTTATAACGGACTGCTTTGACCAGTAGTAAACATGGTTCAGGGAGAAGACCGTGAAATTCAAGCAAAACAGCAATCAATCACAACGGTATGTAGAAGACTCTAGCAAAATGCTCAGCTGAGCAGCTCAAGTAGTGCGGGCATACAAGCAAACAGGAATAAAAACCAATCCTACAAAAACAACGTTGAACATTGACTGCTAACTTTTCGTAAAAACCAAAAAGTGCTACCTACCAAAAACCAAAAATTTCTACCAACCATGCTCTGTTGCTGTTGTGCACAATACGAGGAAGTTGCAAAAAGGTCTGCTGAAGAAGGTTTGTTAGCAAAAGACTTTTCTAATAGGTTGTATTTGTTAGCAAAAGACTTTTTAATAGGTTGTAAAGTCTAGACAATTTTTGTTCCACTAAATTTTGCTATAGTGAAGCAAAACTGAAGTAAGTGCATTAAGCTGGATAAGGCTCATTACAAAGAGGTTGTAGGTGATTTAAATAATGTAGCGCAGTCATTTCAAAGCACTAATAAAGCACTCAGTTGTATGCAGAAATGACATATCATTTCTCTGTGGTAATATAAGCAGAATATTCTTATATGTCTGGATGAAAGCTGCAACACTCAGTAGAGGGCTTTACAATTGTCGGTTGGTACTGTAGTGAAATTTTTAAAGTCGATCATTGTTGCTGCTATTTGGTAAATGCTAGTAGTACTCTTTGTTGAAAGTGCTGACTGTTCTTATGAGGACGGTGAAACGGTAGTGTAAGTGTATGTAGTCGGCTACCTGGAACTCAATAACGTCTCCTTCATCATTAGACCAAAACGAGTGAATTGCAGCAGGTTCAGAAATAAATCTGTACAATTTCTTTTACCTAATCAAAAATAGAGATGCGCTTTGCATTTATCGCTACGCTTGAATGACTCGAAATTAGTACGATATAGTCCAGCTCATTGCCAAATGCCTATTTCAATAAGTCTAGGGGAACGCTGATTCGACGATTTGAAAAATTAGGTAGGTAAGATTTTGTGTTACCAAACCTCCACCCGTTCTATTTATCAGCATTTTATGAGGATGATAAACTCACGCGATAATGGAAGTATATGCTATATTCTGAAACAAAGACGTTTTTTTCGCTTGTTCATCATTAGAGTAAAACGGGTGAATGCTGCAACAATTCAAAATCAAATGTTACTGTTAAATCCTTTTGAATAGCCAAAGATAGAAACACATGCACCTATAGTTACGCTTGAATGACTAGAGATTCGTACGATATAGCTCAACTATTGCTAAATGCCTATTTTGATAACTGTAGGTAAGTTAATGACACTTGAAAACACTGGCTATGTAAGATTTTGTATTGCCGAAGCCTTTATAGCGGCCCGTTCTACTTATCAAGTCATTGATGAAATCGTAATGTTGAATTAAAGGATGCTTATCAGCCATTCTTTGATTGAATCTAAATTAGCGATAACAGCGTACATTTCTTACATTATATTAGGTCGTCCCAAAAGTTCTGTCGTTTCATTTTTAAAAAATTGTAACTTTGCGCTTTCTCAACGGACTTCATTATTTTTTTATAAAAAAGTGTAAGTCTTTCTCTTTCGAATGCTATATTGCAGAACTTCAGCCACGCACTAACTGCAGAGATAAAAATAGAAAAAGAAGACATATAAACTTTGCTTATTCTAATTTAGGTCGCCAAAAATCGGGAACGCTGCAGAAAAATCTGAAATCGTCAGCACATAAGTTTTTTGACCTACTCTTCTCAGACAGGACAAACTTTTCACAGTTGCAGAGTAGGTCATTTCAGATTTTTCTGCAGCGTTCACGATTTTTGGCCTAAGTTAAAATGAGCAAAGTTTATATGGTCTTCTTTTTCTATTTTTATATCTGCAGTCAGTGCGTGGCTGAAGCTAGTCAAAGCAGCGTTCGAAAGCGAAAGATTAATCTTTCGAATGAAAACAAAGTGAAGTAAATCCGTCGTGATGTGTAAAAGAGTGATGGGAAGGTTAGCTGTCGATGGCAATTCAAATTATCTCACTGCCTATGAGTACATCTGGAAACTTCTTTATTCAGAGGAATAGATGAGCTGCGCACAAGAACACTGGTCGTTCGCAATTTTGAAGTTCATGTTGCATAGCATTTCACCGAATTCAGGTATCTAAAACAAAGAGAGTTTTTCATGAGAGTTGCCAGCAGCTCACATCTCTCTGAATCAAACAAAGAAAGAGCTCATTTACATGTAAGATCCTTGATATGTTGTGCGCCACATTCCTTTGAAGCATGAGGCCAAAGTGGCAATGTTCTTCCCTGTCTTTGGTGGAGGACCAAAGTCGTTAAACTGTAAATACATGCAAAAAAGTTCTTGAAAATTTTTTTCTTCCTTTTCTTAAGAAAAGAAAGAAATTTTTCAGCTGCTCACCTCCATGTTTGAAACTCTGTAACCGGCTGGAGTAGTGCAAATTATATTCATTTGTCGGCAGCCTTGTGCTGTATTTGGCAACATCCTAAGAAGGAGTAAATTCTATTTTGATTGTTTTCCAAAGGGTATTAGTTTAAATTACGTATACGGTCATTAATTGGTAATTGTGATACTGATTAGTGTCAGGAATTCCTCACTTGATTGTTGGAGTTATGGATCCCGCAGTTCCATCAGCTTGCTTCAGTACAACAGTGCGAGGCAAACATGTTCCGCATACTAAACACTCTCATAGTGAGTTAGCTGTTGTAAACTATCAAGTTGACCGACAAATGAGAAAAATAAATCTTTTTCTTTGAAAAATGAATATTTCTTTTTGAATTATAAACTTACGTGGTGGTTTCTTCGTTGTCGCAGCCTGAAATCATGCATTAAACCAGTTGATCGCATGTGCTAGACATAAAAACTCCAGGCTTACCTGAGTGGAAGAAAACAAAACACCGATAACAATTACAAAAAGAAGCATTGTTTTGGCGACCTGAAATCAAGGGAACACTGTTGCAAAATAGTATCCATACGGTAGGTTAACAAAACAGCTGCCTCTTGCCGCAGGCAAAATTTTTTCCGCAATATGTACCCATGCGCGACCACAGAGATCATATTTTACATATAAACAGAGGATTACTGCGCTGCGTTTCGACTGGGATCAAAAATGTAAACAAAGGATTTTTGAGATGCAGTGGTGATTTGCATAAGCTGATATGAGTTTATGGATTTTGATCTGTGTTCCGCAAATAGCTCAGCTCTGCAAAATTGTTTGTGCAGATAGTAGGGTTATATTAGGTTGACGCAAAAATAATGACCGTTTTCCAAGCCTTTCTTCAGGACAACTCTTTTACTTCCAAATTTCTTCTCTGCAAACAGACACACCTCGAGAAGTCTTTTCATGCTCTATCCAATATTTATTGAAATGTGCTTGCAGCTTCTTCTAATGAAAAGTTACAGAGCGTTAAATGATCCCATTCAAAATCAAAATTTCACTGTAGTCACTTTTCTGGCAAGAATTCAAGAACGAATGAGCTGTACTTCTTCGAGGATTTAGCTACTGTATGTAAAAGAAATTGTCTACATCAAGCACACTCAACATTTCTTCAAATTATCCTGATTGAAAGATCGGAGCCTCAACATGGGTAGCCGCTGCGGTCATTCTACAGGGTGTCTCAATAAAATGTGCACATTGTTTGATTGTAAATAACTCTCTTGTAGTAAAGTGTTTCGAGAAGCTTTAGGTACTTTTGTAGAGCGAGGTTCAACTCAGACTTACAATGTAGAGCGAATCGCCGATCGCTCATTTACTGTAGGAGTACGGTAGAAACTTCAAACATATGCTGTCACTGTGAAAAAAGCGGCCGTTTCAAAAATTTTCAAAAAAAAATGTGGAAATTTGTGTAATAGGGTTTTTATGGACCCTGAGTTCAATAGTCAACTACTTACAATATTGCGAAGCTTTCTAAACGGTGTAACCACACTTCTTAGGAACATTGAAAAAATGGCCGCTACCTCTTACCTGGCATAACTCTTCAATGAAACATCATAAAGAGTTGGGAACTTTACAATCAGAATCAACAACTCTAATTAGTCTAGTGTAAAAGCTTTCGGGCTGGTCTCCTTTCTGAGGCAAAATATGGCCTTTCATGGCTCAAAACCCTCTTTCAACTTTCTACCGTAATCCTACAGCAATGAAGAGAGATCAGTGATTCGCTCTATCAAGAGAGTTATTTACAATCAAACAGTGAGTAGATATTTTTGGGACACCCTATATAAGGGAGAAGAGCCTCTGACATCTTGCAGACTGCAAAATTTGCCAAAAATCACTTGCACTTGGCCTACTAGCCAATTCGTAATCGCAAAGGCAAGATGGACCAGGGTGTCGCCGTTTTTCACTCATAGGGCAAACCGTAGACTCCCGCTAAGCAAAAATGTTTGATGACTCTAAAAGATTATGTTGGAGTGTTAGACTCTCATGATGAATTTACGTTAGTAGAGAAGAGTTTCTTACGAACAAAGAAAAACGAAGAATTTTGCGTTGGTAGAGAAGAGTTGATTACTGAATAAACAAATCACAACAAACATTTTTCGTCAAGGCGCTGATCTAGTCATAAAAAATTCCTTTTTCCAGCGGTAATTAATTATTTACACTTTTGTCATTGATTGGAGAACAAACAGATGAACTATATAAAGTAGAGAGAAACTGCAAACTCCTCATCGCTATAGTCACGTCTACAAGCACTCACATGTAAGCCTGGCTTATCCTCTACATTTCTCAATGCAAGTATGACATGCATCATATGGTAATGGTATAATGAAGTGATGTATAATTCTGTACGACGTGTTTTCTGAGTCACGTATTCCAACGATTTTTTTCTGCACCATTGTATGCCATAGTACTTGCATGTGCTGCAAATAAGGCCAACTGTATTGTGCTCGATACACATTTAATTTTGTTAGGTTTGACAAACACACTCAGACAGCTCAAAAACTTTAGAAGTTCAAAGCACAACAAAAGAAATCAGCTACTTTATAATTGGTTTTCAGCGAATGGTATGACTTGTTCTTTCTTATGTTTGAAGACATGGAAAAGCTCCAAAATTTGTGGCATATTTGACACCGATGGGGACATACTTGTTCTACACAACCCACTTAGCAATTTCCTGAAAACATTACTATCTTAAAGAAAAAAGACGGTTTCGATCAATAATTGTCAACTTGGATGAAAGAAAATTGATGTTTTTTTAACGCATGAGTCAAATTTCTTCAGCAATCTTGGAGTTTGGTGACAATAATTTTCAAATTTCAGGATGAAGACAACTGCCTGTCTCGTTACTGTTCTGCTCATCTGTAACTTCATCCCCGCCTGTGGAAAAGTGCTCAAAGACAAGACATCACGAACCAAGAGGCAATGTATTGGTATTATGTGCTGTACTACTGGAGGCAGTGGCTCCGGCGCCGGCTGTGGCAGTGGCATCTCTGCGGCTGCTCCGACTGCAGCAGCAAGTTACGCTGCACCCGCGGCTGCGACATCTTACGCTGCTCCTGCTGCTCCTACAAGCTATGCAGCTCCAGCTGCTACATCTTACGCTGCTCCTGCTGCTCCTACAAGCTATGCAGCTCCAGCCGCTACATCTTACGCTGCTCCCGCAGTTTCGAATGGCTATGCTGCCCCAGCCACCTCCGTGTCTTACGCTGCACCTGCGGCTACTACATCTTACGCAGCTCCTGCGGTATCTTACGCTGCTCCCGCAGTTTCGAATGGCTATGTTGCTCCCGCAGTTTCGAATGGCTATGCTGCACCAGCCGCCACCAGCTACGCCGCTCCCGCTGCATCCACTAGTTACGCTGCTGCTCCAGCTGCTCCAGCTGTCACCAGTGCCTTATCTGGCGGCACCCCATCTTCACAATGTTGCTGTGTGTCATGCTGCATTATCAGCAAAGTCTGCTGCTGTTGATGTGCCTTCAACTTTCGCCACATAACTTTTCCGCAGTTTTGAAATGTTCTGTAACAAGCTGCTTTAAGAACACCGCGCAGATTTCGTCTACAAGTGGCCTCTAAATACTCCGTTCAAGACTATATCTGTTTATATAGCGTTTCAAACTGCCGCAATCGTTGCCATAAACTGATTGGAGGTTTATTTATATAGCATTGCGGGATGGTGTTGACTCTAGTGTTTAGTAGCTTACGCTAGCTTTCGAATATGTGAAGTCTGCTTTTGTTTGAATAAATCGTTGTTTATACTTGTAAAAGTTTTGTTGAGTCTTGTAATTTTCTGTTCAAATGCGGGCCCTAATCTTGTTTCCGCGCAAAGAGTTCGTACCATTGATTATGAGACGAGGCTGTACTTCGGAGTTTTTTAGAAAGTGTTTCTAACTACTAAACTGGTCATATTCTTTGACAAAAACAAAGCAATGCTGTGCATCAGTCAACAGCTAATCCGGTTATAAGAGAAAGTTCTGGTTCAAATAAAAAGCCTAATTGCTTCAATTGATTCTTTCAACAATAGTGCTTCCACCTAAAGATCTCATCTTTGAACATTCCCGCGGAAAGCGGAGCAGCTTTAAGAAAGCTCTATACCCTAATTTTACACGCACAAGGTGCACATTTCTTATTATTTACGCGAGCCGCTCAGCCGCGTCACTGTTTTTTTTGGAAAGCGACTGATAAGCAGCACAAATCTTTCAAGCATTATACATTACGGTATCTGATCCGTTGGCTAAGAAGTCCCTTGGCATGTTTGGACCGGCCAATTTTGAAAAAAACCGCGTCTTGTAAGCATAAAGTACTTGAACGCTCTAAAGGTGGATTTGTGGTTTTTCTTTGAAACTTGAAAGCAAAAAACGAGGCCAAGTAAGACATGTCAGAAAGTGAGTTTTTTTAATGGGATACTGAAGGCCAGTCTAACTGGGTGGTGGATTTAACTTAGGCGAAATACGGTTGAAAAGAAGTTTCGTGTAAAGTTGCTGCTCAAAACCATGGCTCAAAACCAAGCAACCAAACCAATCATGGCTCAAAACCCTCTTCAAAGTTTCTACCGTAATCCTACAGTAAGAATGAGAGATCGGCGATCCGCTCTATATAGTAAATAAGTTGAACTCGCTCTACAAAATGGTAACTAAAGCTTCTCGAAACACTTCACCACAAAAGAGTTATTTACAATCAAACAGTGTGCATATTTTTTGGGGGGACAACCAAAGCATAACCCATAAATTTCTTTTGAAAAAGGCAATCACCAAGTTTGCTCATTTTTGTAAGCGCAAGGGTAGAATATCTTGTTTGACAGTTTTTGCAATAACATTCAACTGTTCAGTACTCAAAAAAGCAGAAAATTCTATAATTTAGAATTTTGAGGCCTTCTGGAAAATGTCGAAAAACTGACAATTTTAGGCTACAATTTTTTTTTACTTTTCCTAGATCTTTGTTGTCCAAGCCTTTTCCATTTTTTATCCTACTGGATTGCATCTACAAAATAGATAACTTGTCATCTATACTAACAAACCTTGAAGGAAGTTACAACTTGCTAAAGATAAGATTTGAAAAAATTTGTTTTTCAAATCATATTTTATTGCCTGTTTTTGATTTGAGTACAGATGAATGTGCGCTATATTGCAAAAGGTTTGTTGCTTTTGATGTTCTTTGCCGCACTCGGAACATATAGATTTTCCGAAAGCTATAACACGTCAGTGAGAATCCTTAAAATGGCCATTATTTTTGCAACAACCTGATACTACTCTTTGTCCATTAGACCATTAGCAGCAGATCACACTATTGAAAACATGGGCACCGTATTTCGAAGGTCCATTTTTGAGCTTTTGCTTTTTTTCTCCTTCATAGTTTTGAGGGTTTTTGTCGGGTATCTTAATATTGTGCCGTTGCGTTTATCACCTTTCATGTTGCGCATAAAAATGGAGAAAGGTGAAAAGAGTGTTAATTGCAAAGGTTTTTTTTGCTACCCTGTCGGAGTAATTTGTACAGGATATACCAAAAAGTATGCGCAGTGCTTAATCCTCAATATCTATGTCGTTCCAGTGTATGTAAACCTTCAGCTTAAATTTACAGTACCATACGAATCATAAGTTTCTTCATTATTGTAGTAGGAAACAACATTAAAGAGTGTTGTAATCCACTCAGGAAGGCATTGTTTTGCCTCAAAAAACGCCAAACAACCCAAACACTTCGAAATTAAGCTGATTAGAGTTGTTGACTTCAAACAAGGAGTCGCACTTTACAGTAATGCCCCTTCAACAAGCTATTGGTGTGAATATACCTGAGCAACTGTATTTTCAATGTCTTCTTGAGAATGTCTTTGAGCTAGGCCATCTGCTTGAGTTCTCTTGCATTTCTGCTTGAATTTTTGATAAATTATTAACTTACAAGTGGTATGCATTGGGTCAGTGAGGGATTTTTTTTGAACCTATGCACAGATCACTAATTCAACGGTGTTTTCAAGCTGAGTCCATTGTGATTACTCAGATTATGGCCAAAGTTTCAGACTTGATGTTTTCAACTGTCGAAATACTTAAGCTAGTGTTTATTTCAAGCTGATACGTTTAGATAACAATCATGCAGAGTGAGATCTTCTATGCATTATTGCTTTTGCATTTCACTGGCTTCCAAAACTTTTCAGGAGCCTAGTGATTGATCACAGTCCATAGCCGGTCTGTAGAGAACTCATAAAGCAACAGCTGTGAACAATAAACTTTCATTTCATGTGACCTCCTCCCTTCCTAGCGTTTCTGTGCTCACTTAAATTAGGCAGATTTGATTTGCAGTAAATTCTCCTATTCATGCAGTTTTGATTTCAAAATTCATGAAAAAATCTAACGGGAGGTCTCCTTTAGGTATACATATTGTGAGCAATACATTATATAGGTTTAAAGCACATACTTCAGGGTTGTTGTCGGGGGCGGTATTTATACTTTGACGTTGCGACACAAGGGGAATTTCAATAAGAAGTTCAAAAGGGTGTTGTTTTGCAAAAGCGTGAGTTTGGGATGGATCTCATGTCTTTTGAAGCTTTCCCGAAGATCTCAAACTTGCAAAAGGTTGAAAAATGTAGCAGAGCACAATGCTCGATGCTCAGCAATTTTCGAAGGTGCCTATTCCAACCTGAAGGTGCATAATTGGCTGACAGGAGCGACATGCTTCGAACACAAAATCTACGACACAAAACTGTGTTCGACCATTTCCGGATGTTTGCTTCTGGTGCCTTTATACTTTTCTCTTACTCGTTCACGATTTCTTCCTAACCTCGACCTTTTTTGTAGTGCATGTTGCGTGATTTACATTTTTACTTGAGCTTAGTGATTTTTCGTTTTGGGAGCTTTTCCCCTATTCTTCTGGCACTGACTCACCTCAGCAGAATAGCATGGATCTAACCACATGGGAAAAATATACACTAGAATGTGTTGTTCTTGCATCTTACAATTAGATTGCTAGCACGCGCTTTATTAACAACTTCAATCTTTTTGAACATTATTGTTTGATTTTCTTCTAATCTTATGACGACGTGTTGAGGGGGCTCTCCCTTCTGAATAAATTTTCTCTTCCTTGAATGATTTTCTCTTCTTTGAATGATTTTGCAAAAGCAATAATGCATAGAAGATCTTACTCTGCATGATTGTTATCTAAACGTATCAGCTTGAAATGAACACTAGCTTAAGTTTTTCGGCAGTTGAAAACATCAAGTCTGAAACTTTGGCCATAATCTAAGTAATCAGGATGGACTCAGCTTGAAAACACCTTTGATGGGATAGAGAAGAGAATCTTCGTCAAATACATTTAAAGCGTTCCTCCCTGGTTCTAATGATCTGATTAGTGATTTGTGCATAGGTTCAAAAATCTACCGCTGACCCAATGCATACCACTTGTAAGTTAATAATCTATCAAAAAATTCAAAATTCAAGCAGAAATGCAAGAGAACACAAGGAGATGGTCTAGCTCAAAGACATTCTCAAGAAGACATTGAAAATACAATTGTTCAGGTATACCCACACAATAGCGTTGAAGGAGCATTACTGTAAAGTGCGACTCCTTGTTTGAAGTCAACAACTCTAATCAGCTTAATTTCGAAGTGTTTGGGTTGTTTGGCGTTTTTTGAGGCAAAACAATGCCTTCCTGAGTGGATTACAACACTCTTCAATGTTGCTTCCTCCTACAGCAATGAAGAAACTTATGATTCGTATGGTACTGTAAATTCAAGCTGAAGGTTTACATACACTGGAACGACATAGATATTGAGGATTAAGCACTGCGCATACTTTTTGGTATATCCTGTACAAATTACTCCGACAGGGTAGCAAAAAAAAACCTTTGCGATTAACACTCTTTTCACCTTTCTCCATTTTTATGCGCAACATGAAAGGTGATAAACGCAACGGCACAATATTAAGATACCCGACAAAAACCCTCAAAACTATGAAGGAGAAAAAAAGCAAAAGCTCAAAAATGGACCTTCGAAATACGGTGCCCATGTTTTCAATAGTGTGATCTGCTGCTAATGGTCTAATGGACAAAGAGTAGTATCAGGTTGTTGCAAAAATAATGGCCATTTTAAGGATTCTCACTGACGTGTTATAGCTTTCGGAAAATCTATATGTTCCGAGTGCGGCAAAGAACATCAAAAGCAACAAACCTTTTGCAATATAGCGCACATTCATCTGTACTCAAATCAAAAACAGGCAATAAAATATGATTTGAAAAACAAATTTTTTTAAATCTTATCTTTAGCAAGTTATAACTTCC